CGCGTTTAAAGTTTTGACACATAGAACAGATAAGAGTTGAGGCGTGGCACTTAAATGAGTTTTTATTGTATAAATAATGATAATTTTGTTTTGAAATTTACAGGCATATTTTTGAGATGTTATTGTAACGATTTATGAAAAACAAAATCGATTTTTTTTTTCTTGTTACATGTTTCGCCCCCCTTAAGACCATAAACTCTATCATCATGCAAAGTTCCAACAAAATCGAAAAAAAAATCCAATGAAGAAACGTCCCGTTCGATCTTATCAAAAACTACTAATCAGCACAGTTTCAAACAAATATCTGTTGACTAGTTCTAAATTTTTAAATCAGTTCAAGATATTTGGCTAAACTCGTAAAAAATTCAATAATTATAAAGAAAAGGCTCAGTCCGTCCTTGCGAAAAACTAATCAATGTTTTCATTAGTTTAATCGATGGATTTTATTAATTTTAATTAATTAATTATTTTTATTAATTACATATTGAAATGAGTGCAGACGGTTTGAGAAAAAAGAGTCGATGAGAGGTCAATTTTTGGCTTACATACTATAATTACATTATTACTTACATAATAAACACATATAATTTTTTGATTTTGGAGTCGAATGATTCAGAATGACTTGAATGATTGAGAAAACGTAAAATTGACAAATCGAATTCCGAGAATTCAAACTACTTCTTGAGGAAGTTAAAAACTACCTAAAATATTTGATATAATAGTTTCATGATTTTATTACAAAAGTCTATATTCAAACATTAAAATTGAAATTATACTATTCATTAGAAAAATATTTTTCGGTCATTTTTATTCTCTATTTTTTATTCTCTATTTTATTCACAACTGTCCAGTTAAGGACATCTAATAAATTTGAGGAATTTACAATTCTCGGCCGTAAAGGGACAAGGTATACTAAAGGGGCATGTTTCAATTTTTTATCAGGAGAGTTGATGATTTAAATTCAGTGGCGTTTTTCTTTTCAACCTTTTTCAAATATGGAAATATTTTATTTCATTATACTTTATACTAGACTATAAAGAAAATATTTGTGTGAAATAAATATATTGTTTGAAACAAATTTCCACGTTTGAAAAACAATACAAATTACGGAAGATTATTATCATACCATACCATATTATCGACCAAAAATACAAAATATAAATTTTTATAAATTTTGTTAAATGTATAATAAAATTAATTGCATTATGTGGTTTCGAAATATTTTTTATTATGAAAACAAACGACTTAAATGTAAAACAGTGAAAATCAAATTCTCGTAACGACATAGCTTGCTTTTGAATTAGATAATTAGTCATTTCGCAAAAATGTATGAAAATGATAACTAGTCATTTCGAGCGCACGTGCTCCATGTATCTTTTAATAATTAAACTAAAATTTGTTTGATAAATATGTTTACTTAATTTTAGTAACTAGCGATTGTTCTCAATGCTTTGATAAAAATATATTACTTCCATATATCATTCGGTCATTAACTCGTATTAAAAATTAAGATAATTGCATCTTATCATTAACACGCCTCACACCATATTGTTCAGTGTCTCGTCGGTCTTATTGACCACTTATAGAAATTGCAATTGCTAGCAAAATGTATCGATAACTCTGGTTTGTGCCAGTTTTCACTTGATCAAATCTGTTCCAAACATGATTGAAATACATTCTGATAAATTCGCTATTGTCATTAATATTTACACTACAAATTAATAACACCGCGGTGCTTGAACGATTTGCGTATCATTGTGTAAATATGGTACAGTTACGATTGTTTGAGCTACTGTTTGAGTATAGATCAATTGTTTGTTATTGGATCAATTGAATTTTTTTATTGCTTAATAAATTTTAATTGTAAAATGGCCTTTATAATTGTAGGACTACCAAGTACAAATTAATTGGAAATTAAAACCACGGGGATAGAAAAATGAATGATGAATGATAACTAATTGAATACAGTACATACTATCAAGTCAATATTATTTTAACACCATTAATAGATAAGAGTAAAGTGCATCTTAAAGATTCACCATAATTATCTTAAAAATAAGTGAAGTAAAGTATGCTTATTACCGGTACTATAATTTGAAGAAATAAGAAAAATATCGAGAGCCAAAGAGACCAAATAATAATCAGAATCATGAAATTAACTCTCTGTTAGTATTTTGGTTTGGAGCACTGTTTTTTAGCTTACGATAACAATAAAATTTTTAGATAGTGGGGTGCATGACATCGTGCCTTAAGGCAAATTGCTGGAACTTCCCGTACCGTAATTAAAAATCTTGGTACAGAACCCAAAAAAATTTACACAAAATGTGTACACATTATGAAAATCTCTATAGAATATCTTATAATTTGATGTGCATAACATTTTTGACCGCCAAATGACATTTTTTTTTAACTTATTTACATTGAGAGTCTATAACCGCTGGACCTGGCTTCCCAAAAATTTAATCAGTTCTCTCTCAGCAAAAAAATATTTCTATAAAGATAAATTATCAGGGAATTTATTTAGTTCGATATTTATTATTTTGATATGTGGTTTTCGCACGATAATTACTATTGAACCTTTGTGCCCCGCGCTACCCTAAATGCGGTTAAAAAATATTTATAAATACCTTTCTATATATCAGTGAACAGCAAGCCAGTCTAATTTTCATAGCACAATGCATAATACATAAAATAAATGGGTGAAAAACGACCACTGGAATGGTTGAGCACATCACTATTCCTGCTGCATAATAATAAGCCTGCTCCTTAGTCGTATGATCCTGCCCTGGTGTAAAATATCCTACTAATGCTCCCAGAAATAAAGGTTGCAAAGCTCTGAAGAAAAAATTAAATTGAATTTGATGATTATTAAGTTTATAAAACAGTATGTGATTAAGGAATTCAATCCAATTATTGATGTAGATATAGAAACTATAACGATAATGTTGAATCTACTATTTACAACAGTATTTTTTCTTTCCTAGTTAATGTTTCTCAAATAACTGTTAACAAGAATAATTTACTTCTCGACAGTTTTTCCAAAGCTTTTTTAAAACCAATGAAAATTTCTAAAACCATCTCGAGACCATTTTGAAATAACTTGTCTTTATTTCTCGAATTACAAAAGTATTTCCCAGAAAGAGACTTTAAATATTTTTGTAACCACATAAAAATATTTCTGCTTTGTGATGTTTATTAAAGATTGTTCCTAAAATTCTGGTCTGTATAGTCTGTAGTATTTGATTACCAAAAATTTGAAACATGAGATATATTTTAGCCAGGGTTATTCATCATTTTAAAGGTTAAACTTGTATTAAAATATTGATATTGAAATTTAAGCGAATAGTTATAGTGGTTAAACAAAAAGCTCTAGAAAAAGATTATCACAGAGTTACTAATCTAAATATACTCAAAAATGAAATAAAGAATTATTTTAATAATAATAGAAATAAATATTATAGTTCACAAAAAACTCCTTCAATAGCATTCTATTGTTTTTATATTATGTTTTTGAATTATTTCTTGTAACAAGAACTCTAAGATTACAAACCACAAATCAACAAGTCATTGTTTTCTGATGTGGCTGATTTCACCAAAGAAAAAAACTATCAACCGATATCATTAGCTCTATTTAGAATTATCAGATAACTAACTCTGAGTGTTTTCCGTTATCATCATAAGTTTTCATACAATTTATATTTAATGTAGACTGCAACGTTGTATCACCAAAATCAATAAGACTGCAGAAAAAAACATGCCAAGTGATAAATAAGGTTATCTATCTATATCGTATTAATTAGACCACTTGTTTAACAATTCGTGTTGGTAACAAATAGAAAATTAAACACCGTAAAATATGATAAAACTTATTATGAATTGTGTATGCAAAAAACGCTTTCATAGGTTTCAAGATTAACATAATCTTATCGTTTGTTTAGGATTCCTGGAACTATTTGCAAAAAAGTTATGTTTTGCATTTTTTAGTGGTTTGTCAGCAATATACTAGTATAGTTAAAATTTATTTATATCTCAAATTTATTGTTTGACTGAACATCGAATCATATATTATAAAATATAAATATGAACAAAACTTATTTTGCGTTATTTCGGGGTTTACAAGTAATACTCTGATAATTTAAATTATTCATATCAAATAGTCGTTATCATAAGCAATCATTACATACATAAGCTATAAGGTAATAATGTATACTGCATTTTTATTATTATTATATAACTAACACAGATTTTACCCCTGATAATTTTTGAAGAGAAATGGAAATTGAAAAAGCCCAAGACGTTATAAACATCTAACATCTTTCTAATAATGATCATTTGCTTTCCTAATATAAATTTGAAAGAAATTTGCAAAATAACGAAATATTATAAGATAGCTATGAAGATTATCAATTGCTTTTTTTAAATAACATTTCAAAAGAAGAAGAGCTACAAAAATCTTCAATTGCTCTCTTCAATTAAATTCTGAAGAAATCTGCAAAAGAACGATCATCAGAAAAGTAAGATCATCAATTGATTTTGTTAAATAGATTTACAAAATAAGTCAATTGGTTTCTTTAAATAAATTGAAAAAAAATGCAAAAAACGAAATGTAGAAAGAAGGTTATGAAAATCATTGATTGCTTTCTTTAAATAAATGTTCAAAAGAAGAGGAGTTACAAAAATCATCTATTGCTCTCTTTAATTCAATTTAATAAAAAATTGCAAAAGAACGAAGGATAAAAAATTAGTTATAGAGATCATCAATTGTTTTTGCAAAAGATTGAAAAGTTAAAAAACTGCTATAGAAGTCATCAATTGCTCTCTGTAATTAAATTTTGAAGTAATTTTCCAAATCGAGAGGTTAAAAGATAACTACGAGAATGATCAATTGCTTTCTTTAAATAAATTTTAAAGAAATTTTGACAAAAAACAGAGGTAACCAAGAGAGTTACAAGAATCATCAATTTCAGTTTTAAAGCATTAAAAAAATAGGTACTAAGAAAGATACAAGAATAATAAATTTTTTTCCTTAAATATTTTTCGGTTCAATAAAGTTAATTAGATATTTTGTAAACCATGATTAAATTTTGGTATAATTATTTTCTTACCTGGCAGCGGTTTCTATAAGAGAGTACAGCAGTCCATAACCGATAACCTGCAGGCCACTCGTCTTCATAATGACCCTAAGAAGGCTCGGCTTTTTCTTCTTCTCATTATTGGTCCTTGTCTTATTGAGCTCTTCTTGCCACAATGCATCGTACTGGTCGCCAAGTCTCTCTGATGCATGACTCGGCAAGGCCTTGTAGAGATCCTTGGCTTCTAGGGACCTCTTGAGGCCTATTTGAAATATTGGATGTAACCACCTAATAGAAAAAATGATATTTTAAAAATTATTAAGATTATTTTAAATTTATAGAAATTTTCTAAATAATGAGAGGTTAAAGGATTTACGAGAATGTCAATAGATTTTCTTAAATAAATTTTGAAGAGATTCTGACAAAAACCAAAGGTAACAAAAGATTACAAGAATCACCAATTTCAAGTCCTGAAGAATTTGAAAAAAGAGGTAACAAGTCAAGAAAGCTCTAGAATATTATGATTCTCTCTCTGTATGTGTATTAGGGTGTGTCGATTTAAGGGTCACTTAGGCATATATGATTTTTGGATTCTAGCGATCAAAATCTGATACTTTGCTGAAAAAACCATACCTTTAAAATGAATTCTAATGTCCCATGGGGGTCCAAGGGATGAACCACAGACATGGTTAGATCAAAGTTAGTGAGGTCGGTCATACATTTGGACGCGATTGGGACACTCTATTTAAATGGATTTTTTCAAATTCTAACCCTTATTTTTGGGTCAATGCTCGGGACATCAGAATTCATTTTAGAGGTATGGTTTCTTCAGCAAAGTACCTTATTTAGATCCCTAGTATCCAAAAATCATATGTGCCTAAGCGACTTTTTTTGACCCATACAAATCGACCCACTCTAATGCGTATATTTATTTCATGCCATTTTGTATTTGAGCGACCACCCTCGTATATATTCATATATTATATATTTTTTTGATCGACTTTTAGAGCATTTTCTTGGGATTTTCATTTATACTCTGTAGGTTTCAACAGTGTGTGTGTCACTACCATCAGTTCTAAAAAATTGTATTATGAATAAAATTTAATCGCACATATTAAAATATATTGTACAAAATAAATATAGAGCTGAATGATGACACATATGCTGTGTGAAAACGTTGAGGCTTAAGATTTTTTTGTGATTTCACTTTGAATTACTTTAAAGCTTTCACAATATTGAAAAAAATGAATAACTGAGACTGCATATTAAAAATGTAATTAAAATTCAATAAAGTAGCTCATTATTTGAATTTATGAATTTAATTTATGTTGAAAGAAATAAATAACTGAGACTAAATATTAAAAAAATGTTTTTAAAAGTCAATAAAGTAGCTCATTATTTGAAATTACAAATTTATGTCTATACTGATAACGTCGTTTATAGATTGCAAAAACCAATAAATAAAACCAGGAGCAATATACTCGTAATGTCCTTGGCGATAAAGATCAAATACATACATTTGCAATGTGACTAACATTTTTTATGATTGATAAAACAAATGCAACATCATATTGTTCCGGTTTAACATACTTCAGATATAAAATAAGCTAGCTATGTCAATCACACATGTCTGACGCTAAGAAGCACTAAATGAGCCATGTCAGACATATATGTCTGGTAAAGGGAGAAAAAAAGTTTTATTACAGGGTCATGGGAGTCATATGGAAGTCATATATATTTGACTCATTGTTAGAAAATAGTGTTTTTCCAGGAGTTAACACGTTAATCGTAATGTCGGTCATATGTATGTGACGCTAAGAAGTTCTACATGAGCCATGTCAGTGATTTGTTCATATTAGTAGGTTATATATGTACATAAAAAATGGTGCTTTTCCAGGAATTTTGGCAAATAAATACATTAAGTTCACAGTAATGTAAAATTTTTTACAATACGTTCCGGTTTAATATACTTTAAGTATAAAATAAGCCGTTAACACTTTATTCGCCATATCAGTCAATGTGTCTGACGCTAAAAAGTTCTACATGTCAGACATATATGTCTGACATACTCAATTTGGTAAAAGAAAAAAAAGTTTTAATATAGGGCAATGTTAGTGGGCCATTATGTGTGACATAAAAATTAGTGTTTTTGTAGGAATTTTGGCAATTTTTTTTGTGTGTGTATTGTTTTGTGTATGTGTGTTTATGTGTGTATGTGTGTTTATGTGTGTATGTGTGTGCGTGTGTGTGTGCGTGTGTGTGTGCGTGTGTGTGTGCGGATACAAATTTTTGTCGACGATTTCGGGAACACCGATCAACCGATTTGAATAATTCAAAAAACATTCGATTCGTATTGATAAGGAGACGTGCTGATTAATTTTTGCCGAAGGCAGGTCTGGCCGTTCCGAAGATACGGGCCAAAAAGTGCCAGATACGGTAAATCAGTTTTTAAGAGAACGTAGCGTCCGATTTTAATAATTCATTGACAAGATGAAGAACTGATTAAATTTTTGGGAAGGTAGGTCTAGCGGTTATGAATTTTCAATAAAAATAAGTTAAAAAAATGTCAAAGCGGTCAAAAATGTTTATTGGACGTATGTACATCAAATTATCAAATATTTTATAGAGACTTTAATAATGTATTTTTTGGGGTTCCGTACCAAGATTTTTAATTACGGTATGGGAAGTTCCAGCAATTTGCCTTAATGCACGATGCCATGGACCCCACTAGTTCTTATTAAATTTGTAACTATTAAATAGATTTTTCTATCTTTATCAGAAATGTTTGCATTTTTTTGTATTTAATTTCATGCTAGTGATTATTAATGACTTTCAGAATTTATACAGGTGAGTGATTCAATGATTTATTGACATATAAAAATAATTTATATTGATAAAAAACTAGAAAAACAGTTACCAGAACGTGATCTTTGACAAGAAGCCGGCTTTCTTAACCGGATTTTCTACTTTGGGGCGTACATGTGTTCCTCCATCCATCTCTATCAATAATTTTAATTGACACTACCGTATAAGTACAACTTTATTATCCTTAAATTACTAATTATCACTCAGCCTTTATTCACTACACTATTTATCACAATTGTTAATCGTTTCACTAAAAATATGAATAAATTTCAATTAATTGACCGGTAACTTATTGCTAGTGAAAGATGATAGTGCACTTGTGGTGTATAACAGATTCTATGTCACATGTTTAGCATTTATTGATTTTTGCCGAATGCGCGTTCGCCAGTAACTAGTTTTAAAAGCAAGATAAGTTTAATACAATTCGAGGTTACATAGTTAAATAAAAAAATAAGTACCGCTAGTGCACACTTTCTCGTTTTGACAGGCACTGTAGAACTGACGTTTTCGCTTCGCACACGTGCTTTGTTCGTGCCAAATAGATGCCGGCGAATTGCGCAAGGCACGATCTCCCCGATCGGGTCGCGTCGGCAGCTGCTGGGGAAGTGGAGGTGGAACATGCGGCTATGCGTATGTGCAGTCCACGCACATTGATTGATATAATGGCTAGTGGTGCATGGCATCGTGCTTCAAGGCAAATTGCTGGAACTTCCAGTACCAGAATTAAATATTCGGGGGAAAAAATGAGTAATCAATAAACATAGCGACCTTGTTGCACAAAACCCTTAAGAATGCTACATTAACAAGAAGAGCCGAATGAATCCATCTGAGGATATAGTTATTATGATTAGAATATAATTCTAATGATTAGAATATCGCATATATGAAATGTATACATTTTTAAACCGAACTGTAATTTCAAAATTTTTATTTAAAGTATAAAACTTTGTTTATTTTTAAAAATTTAAAAAAAAAAATTTAACTAGTGAGGTGCATGGCATCGTGCCCTAAGGCAAATTGCTGGAACTCACCGTACCGTAATTAAAAATCTTGGTACGGATCCCACAAAAATTACACAAAATGTGTACACATTATTGACATCTCTACAATATATCTGATAATTTGACGTACATATGTCTAATAAACCGTTAAAAAAAATTTACAACGCTTGATTACGAAGAAACGGTCAATCCGATTTTCTACAATAATCTACGCGATTTCCAATCAATATTTTTCGAACAGTTATTGACTTTTCAGAGATGATTCAAAATTTGTGACCGCCCAATGACATTTTTTTAACTTATTTTTATTGAGAGCCCATAACCGCTGAACTTGCCTTCCGAAAAATTTAATCATTTCTTCATCTTGTCAATACAAGTAAAATGTTTTCTGAATTATTAATATCGGACGATCCGTTCTCTTAAAAACTGAGTTATCGTTTTGCCCCGTATCTTCGGAACGGCTAGACCTGCCTTCACCAAAAACTAATCAGCACGTATTCTCATCAATAGAAATCCAATGTTTTTTAAATTATTCAAATCGGATTATCCGTGCGCCCGAAATCGTGGACGAAAAATTATATCCAAGCATACATACACACACAAACATCCATTTTTGGTAAGGTATGCCAAAATGTTCAGAAAGCTTTGAAACGTAAAGAAATGCAAGAATTTTCATTTTCGATTTTTTTGCGATTACAATAACTTACCCTACGGGAAGTTAATAACTAGGTGTCAGTGTTGTTTTGCCTTAAGGCAAGTTTCATGAACCTCCGAATTTAATTAGATAAAATGTTCAACAGCTTATTTCAAAAATAAAATTTTCGCCTCTACTAAAAAATAACCAATACAATTCCTAATTGATATCTATCAAACATATTATAATATTTTTAATTATATAAATTAAATTAATTAAGTATGAACGTAAACTGTAATCAGTCAATTCCAAAAAGCACAAACATACATAAGCTTCTGCTCTCGCCAGGCGATTAGTATGCTATTTCAGGGTTCGTTATACAAAGTTTCATCAAAATCGGTCAAAAAAATTGTCAACGTTTGATCACGAAAAACGGTAAATCCGATTTTCACAAAAAACTAATCAACTTTTTCGGACAGTTATTGACTTTTCAGAGATGATTCAAAAATTTTGGGCTAAAATATGCATGAAACTTGTTGAGATACGGAAAAAGGTTAAAAACCGGCTCACATACACACAAGTTAGATTCTAATATTATTAAAATTAAGATTAATTTTAAATAATATGAATAATATTAATTAGGTTCTAATATTATTAAATATTAAAATTCTCGACCTGATAAGAAGTACATGAAAATCCCGTTTGACAATGAGTGTATATAGTATGTATATACATATAGATGGACCTTGACGTGATTCCCATCATCGATTGAGATCGCTCGTACAAGCTTGATCAAAAGTTTGGCATACATCATCATCATACATACATATAATATGTTTGAATTGTAGTTGAGATGCCAACCTCTCTTATAATTATAAATTACAAAAGGTTATGCAATACACTCAGAGCCCATAGTAACGATAGATCATTTGCGGTCGACTGTTTTTATATTCTCATAAATTATTACACTCTACATGCTATATATATATAAATATCTATATATATATATATATATATATATATATATATAAATATATTATACGTTTAATTTGAGTTAAAAAATCGGGCGTTACATCAATAAAAATAGTATAAGAATTTTTAGAAATTTATTTATTTAAAATCCATACGTTTCGCCTAGCATCTTAGCCTTCATTCAGTGGCAATCAATTTAACTATAAAAATTAAAAGTAAATAAATACCATTGATTAATACAAACTCATACCATAAATTAATAATGTTAGAAAACTATGTTAGAAAAGTAAAAATCTAGAAAACTTATTTTTCATTTCTATTTAAATTTAGCTGTTTCATTTCTATTTAAAATTGTTTCTATTGAATCTCTACATAAAATAAACTGTTGTGTTTCTCTTTCAGAGATACAGCGAAAAGGTTTTATGATTTTAATATTTAGTGATTTTTTATAATACTTAGGGCGGTTTAAGAATATTAATACATATGAGTACAAGAATATCTCTTGATTATTCATATCAAAATTAGTTTCAATACAATATTATAAATTATCCAGGAAATAATATGTCTTTACAAGAAATATTAATATGTTGCATCCGAAAAGTATTAAGATTATCAGTGATTTGTTTAACAGAGATTTAACTGTAAGATCAGCCTTAAATACATAAAAATGCAGCACCTACTATATCTATAAATTCAACTGATCGTCAACTAAGTTTCTTATTCAAATTACTAGAGATTTCTTGTTTCACCATTATAATAAATTATGTTGAAATTCTACTTGTGACGTAGTTGTAAGAATTACTTTTATTGCACGCACATCAATGATGAGAATATATACATATAAATTGAACAGTATGCGTAGATTTTTCGCAATTTGGCGACATTTACATCTGCATTTCATTTAGAATATACGAGAAGTATATATCCTTATTATTATAGTTATTTTAGAAATGCAAAAAAAATCATAAAATTTACCTTTAGATATAATTTCATTTAAACATGCTGCTAATATTTAAATTCTTACAGTAATTTGATATTATTAGATGTAAAGAAAGTTGAGCAAATATCACCTGATTACTTCTTAAATGGTTTATAAATTTTCCGTAATAGAAAAGCTGATTTGAAGCCCTTTGACTGATTTGCACAGGTTACGATTATAACTTTGTCCTCTTATTTTCACATCAAAAAATTTATCTCGAACTCCAATATAAAAGCCTAAAGAAATTAAAAGCTTTGTTTGATTATCAAAATCTTATATAGTGAAAAATATTTTTATCGACATAATTCTATTTTTTTATAGTTAAATGAAAGATAATGATACATATCTATAGTTGATGTGTAGTTATTTTACATCCATAAGGTGCCAATTTGGTACAATGTACTCTTGAGGTTGTATTTACCTGTAAATAAAATATGATGATTGATGATTTAATGAATGTGATATAAACAAATAACTAAAAATACTAATTCTGATATTTTTTAATTTTATTTGTGTTCCACGAATCATAGAATTTCTTAAAATTATCAACTGATATACTGTCACTATTAAATATTTACTGTGATTTAAATATAAATTTTTAACACATTTGATCTAATATAATTTTCATATCATCTAAAATGGTCAATGTTATTGAAATTTATACCCACAACTCATATGCAATGAATCACATACAAAATTTCATATGATGTAAATACATAATATATCCATTTGCATTTATTTAATAAAATTCTTATTGACGATAATTTGTAATCGTTCGATAAAATATTTTCTATAAATGCAAATATCCACATCCATAATTTTAATTTAATCTAGTAATGTTGAACCAACAGTGCACAGCAATATTTCTTTATAATTTAATTTTAATTATTTCGTCTTTTATAATTTTTAGTCGCGTAGTGTATTATGATCTATTTTCACATTCATATTTCTATATTGTTCAGTTTTATAAATATATCATATGAAAAACGGAATCGAGTTTAACTTATCATATAATTTTTCTCCATATATATTTGTCTATATTTTTATTTTTATATATTTTTTTCGTTCAGTATCACAATAGTTTAAAGCAGTATGACAATAATTGTAATAGCTATAAGAGAAATTATAAGTAAAAGATTATAATTAATATTTATTTATATATACATAAATAAGAAATATTTGTTTCCAATCGACAAGATCACAAATGTTTGCCTTATTTTTTTCAATTGTGGATTGACCATTATATATAATATACATTTTTCCATAAACAAAACAAAAATATTTCAATTAATATTGAAAAATCACAAAAATATCGAAAACTGTGAAATTATTTTCTTGCTGATTTGATACAAATATCTCAATTATATTATATTATATAAACCGTTTATTTCCTATCTTTGGCTTGCTTTGGCTCTTAGAACTTAAAATTTTCAAATATGTATTTGTGAATATTCAACAGAAATATATAGATATTTAAATAGTATTTAGCTATATATAGATGTAGCCATCTAAAATTTCATTTATTTAGTAAACTGATATGCTTTTGTCAATTTAACTTGGAAATCAAAATATCTATAAAATAAAATCACAAAATTTCAAATACAAATCACGATACTTATAATTCTAAAATTGAATTTTAGATTAATAATGAAAATGAAATGATTGTTGAAATAAATAAATATGATTATCTAAATGTTACCTATTTTTTGCTAATTTTGTCAAACTACTGATAGAATTTTATCATCACTAAATCAACAATAATAAAATAAATATACTTGATTGACTATTTACAAATCTCTCTTCTTATATCTTACAGCTATTGAACTGGATTGAATTAATTCATAGTAAATAGTACATCTATAATTTATTCTAACACATAAATGACTAAAATATAATGCTTAGTGAGAAAATATTAGCAGCGAACTTTTAAAAATATATTTACAATGCGTGACAATGAATTAAAAACTAAGTTTAATGTTTATGTAGATATTTACATTTACCTAACACTTAACTATGACACCTATTTTTTATCAAAATCTTTATTTTAAGGACTGTTTTTTATTTTGATCATAAAACTATAATCTTCAAAATAGACATTGTATGTATATTCTATCGTATCATATCATACACTTTTATATATCGCAAATTAATACTTATTCAAATATTATCATAGCTTTAACTTTTAGTACAATTTCAGCATCAAATCGATTTTTAATTTTGTTAGATACGATTTCAAAAATAAACAGATAATATTTGAATTTCCATTTGCTTTTCAAGTCTGAGCATTCCTGTTTGCTACCACTTAATATTTTCGTTTAAAAATTTTCAATATATTAATTTGATCTTTTTCATATTTTCTAATGACAATATTTGCTAAGTTTTAGTTTTTCGTTTTATTTAACATATATTTTTTTGTTTATACAATTGACTTTTAGATGCGTTTATACGAATACGATTTGTTGTAATTGTTGGGTTCAATTTGATATAGATATAATTTTATTATAATTTATTTGCGTATTTGGTACCACGATTTATTTTGGTTCGTATAATGAGTAGAGAAATTAATTAAATAAAATTTATCTTCGCCGATCTTAGGAATAAAATTCTTCCGAAGAAAGATGTTGTGATCTCTCAGTTCATGCTGAATTATAACAGATTATATTTTTGAATTAAATTATTCTGCTAACTTATTCTAGAAAGTTTGCTTCGTAAATTATATTGAAATTACCCTTAATCAATTTATGTCTTGTACCATAACATTAATGTCTTGGATAAAAGCAGATATCAAATCATGGCCTTTTTATCAATGATCCCAATAGCAGTTGTATCAGTAATAATTTCTTTCATATCAGGTTATCCAAAATAGTGGATACCTACAATACTGCATTAAAATTGAAAAAAAAAAATAGATCATTGTACTGTATATTTTAAAACGTTATTGATGGGAAATGATCCTCAAACCTCATTTTTCTAAGACAAGTGACCCTAGGAAATTGAAAACTGATTGCATTATTCAAGAATAAAGTTGTTATTATAGTTCCAATAGCTGTTTGTTCGATTACTTGTCAGTGTTTCCAATTTGTGAGAAGAAAAACTAATTTCCGATTTTGGTTTTAGAACTTTTCGGTCGACTCTACCGTTTGGCTGTGGGTTTCCACCTGGTAAATACAAGAGACACTTTACCACCTGCTGGGCAGCCCACTTTTAAAGTTGCTGCGCATTCTTCGGCATTTGCAGCTGATAAGTCGACTCCATTAACTGAAGTTAAAGAATCCAATACTGCAATTCGACCGTCCGTGTCGGCAGGAGATCCTGGAATCTTTGGAAAAAAAAATTAACTAGTGGTGTATGGCATCGTGCCTTAAGGCAAATTGCTGGAACTTCCCGTACCGTAACGGGAATTGATCGAGGAATATTAAATGTTTTCATATAGATTTTTATAAATATTGTAACATTGTCTAATATTTATAAGAATTATATAAACTGAATTGCAAAGTTGAAATTATTTGTTTAAAGTATATTAGAATTATTTATTATCTGAATTATTTTCGATATACAAAAAGAAAATTCTTGAAAAAAAGATATATATATATATATATATATATATATATAATTTTGTGATATGAGTGGAACGAATATTAAATGTTCAATATGAACAAGGCAGCGCTCAGATTTTTTAACACAACTTTATTTTATAATTACAAACGTTTCGAGACCATGGTGTGCCTCATCTTCAGTGTAATTTCAAAAAACATAACATGGTATAAATCTGAGAACCGACACAAATATTTTGCACGACACTTATATAAACATCATTAATGATTTATAATTTTTTCATTTATCTTATTCTTTTCAATAAATTAATCTGTTTTTTCAAAATCATCGATTTTTGTATGCGAGCGCTTTCCTTTTTTACATTTTAATGTTACCCATCCTGTCTCCGTGCAGACACTTCAGATTTGTTTCGAATAATTCTGTAACTGTCACAGTTCGGTTAGTGCCGTGTCAAACATTGAATGCAACAATTGTCACTTGTCAATGCAAGGAATAGTTGGTGGTTTATATTCAAAAGTTAAATATAGTTTTAAATGAAATATTAAAGAATGTATAGTAATAAGTAATTGTTTTTTGAAATTACACTGAAGATGAGGCACACCATGGTCTCGAAACGTTTGTAATTATAAAATAAAGTTGTGTTAAAAAATCTGAGTGCTGCTTTGTTCATATTAAACATATATATATATATATATATATATATATATATATAGTTATGTGTGCTTAATTGGTTAATAGTGTTTTTGCAGAATTTTATGAACAATTAGGAACAAAGGAATAATTTGACAGTTTTTAATATTTCCAAAAATGAACTGTTTAAAGTTACTGAAAATATGAAAATATTGTACAAAAAGTTGAAATTTAATTGGAAAATATCAATGTAAGTAATTAACATAAGAATTTTATATATGCTATATATATATATTATATAATATATATATATATATATATTATATATATATATATATATATATATATATATATATATGTTTCTGTTTAACACAAGTAGCTATTTATCAACGTTGTGAAAGAAGTGCACTTTATTGAAAAAATATTTTTTACACAAAATTTTTGTATAAATTGTTAATAATTGAATTAGGGTTTTGTACAGTTTATAAAATTTTCTTTGTGATGGTATACATTAATGTATAACTTACCTAATAAAATACATTCATATTTTATTTTCAAAAATTATCGTTATTGTTTCTACGCATTTTTATTTAGGCAACATATTGATCTCTAATTTGAACGAATGTTTATTTCGGGAAATGTGTTTACAATTAAACGATCTACAATACTATTTAACACGCTATAACGAACTATAGCAACTTTATATACTTCAAAAACTCCTCATAAAAATATTACCATCAAAAGGTCATTTATTCTTTATACTTGAGATAAGCAATGAGGTGTTCTTTTACAATTAAATAAATAATTTTAGATGAATGTTGTTCTGCGACCAATCACAATACTCGAAAATGACGTGTGTTTTTAGCGCTAATTGTGATTGGCTAATTAATGCTGTTCGTTTTTTTTCGTTTTTCTTCGTCCCTTTTGCATCGTCTATAAATAGGGGGTGCGCAAAGGAATTCTTGGCAGTCGCCGGCCGTGGCCGGCGCCGGTGTCACCTCGGGTGGCACTGAAAGCCCTCGGGGCACCAGACCGGTCGCTCCCTTTGGAGGTGGACTGGACAGGAGCTCCAGGGCCTCCGCCGGAGACTCCCGGCTGCGGAGTCTCCTGGGCTGCGGAGTCTCCCGCGCTGCGGAGTCTCCCGCCTGGAGTCTCCTGGCCACGGAGTCTCCTGGGCCACGGAGACTTCCGGCTGCGGCGACTCCCGCGTGCGGAGACTCCCGGGCCACGGAGTCTCCCGGCTGCGGAGACTCCCGGGCCACGGGGGCTCCGATCCCGGAGACTCCCGGGCCACGGAGTCTCCCGGCTGCGGAGACTCCCGGGCCACGGGGGCTCCGATCCCGGAGATTCCCGGGCCACGGAGTCTCCCGGCTGCGGAGACTCCCGGCTGCGGAGACTCCCGGACCACGGAGACTGCCGGCCGCGGAGACTTCGTGCTGCGAGGAAGCACATTCAAATTGCATTCTTACGATATTCTAATTCGATTTTCCCGACGCCCAGAGTCTCCGTGGCATGGAGTCTTTGCTTGGCCAGAAATCTCCGCGGCCGGGAATCTCTGCGTGTCCCGGAATCTCCGCGGGAGTCTCCGTGGTCCGGGAGTCTCCGCAGCCGGAAATCTCCGCAGCCGGGAGTCTCCGTGGCCCGGGGTCTCCGGGATCGGAGCCCCCGTGGCCCGGGAGTCTCCGCAGCCGGGAGACTCCGTGGCCCGGAGTCTCCGCAGCCAGGAGTCTCCGCAGCCAGGAGTCTCCGCAGCCGGGAGTCTCTGGCCCGGGAGTCTCCGCAGCTGGGAGTCTCCGCAGCCGGAGTCTCCGTGGCCCGGAGTCTCCGCACGCGGTAGTCTCCGCAGCCGGAAGTCTCCGTGGCCCAGGAGACTCCGTGGCCTGGGAGACTCCGCAGCCGGGAGTCTCCGGCGGAGGCCCGGAGCTCCTGTCCAGTCCACCTCCAAAGGGAGCGACCGGTCTGGTGCCCCGAGGGCTTTCAGTGCCACCCGAGGTGACACCGGCGCCGGCCACGGCCGGCGACTGCCAAGAATTCCTTCGCGCATCCCCTATTTATAGACGATGCAAAAGGGACGAAGAAAAACGAAAAAAAACGAACAGCATTAATTAGCCAATCACAATTAGCGATAAAAATATACGTCATTTTCGAGTACTGTGATTGGTCGCAGAACAACATTCTAAAAATTTGTTAATATACTCCAATTAATATATAAAATTTATTTCTTCAGTAACAAGGATGAAATAAACGAAAGAAGTTTATCAAAGAAGTCTGAGTCTCTCAAGGAATTACAAATAGTATTAGAACTCAACAAACCTTGAATTATAATGAAAAAATAAATAGAAAAGTGGTCAAGGACATTCTGGATCAGTATGTAAACATATATAATGTTAAATATGAAATTAATTGAATGTAAGTGGCACTTTGCTTCAAGGCAAGTTGCATGAAAGGAGTAAATAATCAGCTTAATCGATAAGAATTGTTTTGCGAGCACATTTTTTGACATTTATTTTAATTGTGGAAAAACTTATTTAAGCACATAAATTTATCTTACATAGATGAAAAGCTTATAAAATTTTCTACATAATTGTATTTACGGTTTTTAACTTTCAGTACAAAATCATGACGAAAAAAATCGTCAAACTTTAAATTCGTATAACTTTTTTTAAAATGTGCAAAATTTTTTCCTTATCAATACAAATCGAATGTTTTTTTAATTATTCAAATCGCTTCATCCGTGTTCCCGAAATCGTCGACGAAAATTTGTATCCGAACACACATACATACACGCACACACACACACATACACACACATACATCTATTTTTTCTAAGGTATGCCAAAATGTTCAGAAGGTTTTGAAACGTAAAGATATATAAAAATTTTCATTTTCAAATTTTTTGCTATAACTACAACCTGCCCTACGGGAAGTTAAAAAGATATTAGTAAAACTATATCATAAAATCTATTATATATCTGGGTATTCGACCAGACTTGAAAATCAATTTTTTGATATAAATCAGTGATCTATCCTGCAATCTCTCAATGGATACTTCCGTTCATAATAAGTAATTATGACTAATTAATTTACAAGATGATAAATTTAAAACAATCAGACTATACTGATTCAATAACAGTTAATTAATTTTTAAATACAAGCCTAGATTTTTTTTACGAAATTATGATTAATGCAAAATCTACATTCGACTGATCAGGTCGAATTTCAGGAAATCAAGATTCTGGATAGTTTTCTACTCAGTTACTTACGATATCTGAAACATATACACCAGGACTCCCTTTCCTGGATTTTAAACAATGCCCAAACCTTTTCCAGGTTTCTTTACTAATTGAACATCAATAGTGGTAGTTTCCAGTGGTTGTGATCTGAAGACAACCATTCTCATCTGAAAAATAATAAAACTTTAGCAAAACTAGTAAGATAATTTTGTTTACCAAGCATTTACTTTTGGTAATAACTGCTTTACGGCCACGAGACCCTTTCGTGTAATAAATCGGGCACCATTTTGACGCTGTTGACTTCTAAAAGTTGATCGCCTGGTTTCAGTCTTCCATCTTTGCCTGCTGGACCGTCTGGGTAAATTTCGTGAACGACCACACCACCCTGAAAAAGAATTATATTTAGATTTGGACAAAAAAAATATTATTTAGCACTTTATTTCTATCCTATTACACTTGTTAAAGTTTTTCTTAGATACTTATCCTCTGCGCATTTTCTATTCCTTTTTCAGAACTATGTTCTATTTTTTTGCAAAAAATCTGCGAATGCTTGCTTTTAGCGACAAGATTTTTATATATAATTTTAATGATGCTAATCTCCTGCATGCAATTTTTGCTCATTTTATTGATATTTATTTGAGAAATGTAGCAAGTTCGGGTTAGTAAGCCTAGGTAAATAGGGCTTTTTGTTAGTAAAACATACGCCCTCAATTAAAAAATATATCAAAAAGGTATCTTTGGCACTAGTTTCATAATGTTTATTGAGCTGCTGCATGATATTTCACTCATTTTAAATGAGATAAAGTTCGCTTTTAATATGTTTCACAATATACTTCAATTAGTGTTGTTTAAATAAGCTACGTTTGATTTCTTATATATATTTTTTGATATTCGGGTTATT